TGTTTGGCTAGAAGTTTGAATGAATTCATGCAGCCCTTTATTCTACAAGGATTCCTTCACGGTGATTTAAAAATAAAATCGGGATTTTCGTACCGGCCGCCAATTTCGAAAAACCCGAGTTTTTAAGTCCCGTTACCAATTTTGAGAAAAGCGGAGTGACCACGCCCATTTCTTTTGTTATGGCTATTTTAGAAATAAAATCGCTTTTTGTACTGGTTACTAACTTCGAAAAATCCGAAATTAGAGCACGGGTTACCAATTTCTTAAAAAGCGGAGTAGCAATTATTGAAATATCACAGTTTTAGTTTTTTAAAAAATACTGTACTATGGGAAGTGGGCGTGGTTATGAAACGATTTCAAAATTTACCAATGTCATGAAGAGATTCATTGAATGAGCCTTAAAATTCTTGTTAGTATCGAAAGAAAGGTTCAATAAATAAATACATATTATACAAAAAAAGAATTCAAGAATAGTGGGAGTGACGAAGAACCAGTTTTTAATGATTTGACATGAATAAACCATAAGAATATTTGTTCAATAAATTTTTAAATTCGGTTTTGCTCTTTACACATAAAAAAAATGGGCGGGGCAATTCCGCTTTTTACGAAATCGGTACTCTGTACCAAAAAAAAAGGAATTTTTCGAATTTGGTAACCGGTACAAAGAAGCGATCTAATTTTTGAATTGGTTACTGGTCCTAAAAACCCGGGTTTTTCGCAATTGGTAGCCACTTCTTGCATATTTCTTCATTTTCCCATTTGTGCGTCAGAGCTAGTAGTAGTAGTTTAATAACATAAAAATATTTAGTCGCGTGCGGGTGCCCGAAAGTGCCCAATTTGTGTTTATTTCGTTGGTACTCGGGCTGTTGAGAGCCACTGTGAGAGAGTAATTTTTGCTTCTCACTAGCTCGCAGTCGCCTGGACTAGTTTTCCAGGCGAGTTTGTGGAAACTGTCAAACTGCCGGAAGAGCATTAAGAACAGTGTTGCCGCGAAGCATTTTTAGTGGTAGCCGAATTCCTTTAAAAAAAGGGCTAAAAAAGAGCTAAAAAAAGTCGTTGTGGCTAAAAATGGTAGCTAAAATTGTTTACTTACATAATCATATAAAAGTATACCCCCAAATATTTTCGAAAAGCAATTGTACCTTGAGAAACACAATGAACTCTGGAAAAAATATAATATTTTATCAACCCAAAGACCTTTTCGTATAAAAGGGAAAATATACGACATCAACATGCTGGCTCGACAAGTGATTGTACCATCAGGCTCGACGCATATAACTTACCAGCATGCTGGTACAATATTTTTTTCTTTACAAATGAGGTCGAGAAAAGATCGAAATGATTTGAGCCGAAATTTCATAATTTTTCTACCATTTTGTTAAACATTGTTTTTTTTTTATTCACAACTGCAAATCGTGAACTTAATATTCCATAAACACGGCTCTGAAATTTCCGCCTAAATATTTTGTACTTAGAAAATTGAGCTAATTTCACCACTCACGCTCATGCTGGTACAATCATACAATTTTCAAATAGTTTTTGAAGCCGCACCAGCAGCTGGTATAATCACACCACAAGAACATACACGGTCAATCGACTTGTTGGGCCATTTAACTAATGAAGCATATTTGGGGCCAGTTTTTCAGTGCACGGCTGTGGTTCAAACTAAGTTTAAACGCCCGGTCCTGCTGGTTTAAACTAAGATCAGCCAATCAAGTGTAAGCCAGCTGTTCAATTTAAACCCACATTACTTAATCTGAGTTTAAACTGACACTGAAAAACTGGCCCTAAGGGCCGTAAACTTATCTATTTTAAACTATAGTTAAATTGTTAATAGATATGTAACTAAAAAACAGCCCTAACACTTATACTGTATGTATGTATAAAAACGTAAGGAACATACAATACATATGTATATGTCAGTCTTTCTTAGTATAAAAATTTATCTCGTACATAAATGCAAAAAAAATAGATCGAATTAAGCGTATACAACTTTTTCATGCCCAGTATGAATAAATTCTCCAAAGGGCTAAAAAAAGGGCTAGGGGCAATTTTAAATTTATGTGGCCAAAAAAAGTATGTGGTAGCTAAATCTAGCCACCAAAGGGCTAAAACGGCAACACTGATTAAGAATTTTGAACTACTAGTTCTAGTTCAATACCCCAGCAATGCTTTCAACTGTCCAGTTTTACACAGTGATGTCATTGGCGGTGGCAACTGTCGCCCAGTGCACTACTTTGCAACTAGTTTTTCGACCGGTTCAGTTTTGGACAGTTTTTTTTCGTTCCCAGATTCCATTTTTGTTACATATTTTATAAAAAAATTTTTGTAATCTGTACGCTACAATTTAAATTCATTAAATTTGAATACTCACAACTGCCTCCACTGCGACTTGACCTCGCAAATCAACGATGCTTGAGTCGGAGGTCTTTTCGCTGAGCTGCTTTTGTATTGTACGAGAGATAGTTGTGATACATGTAGTTCGGAACTAGCGCTTCGTCAGACTGTCTCTAAATTTTACTACAGGGATAAAACTGCCCTTTCATATCGTTAGCGTTGGAAAAATTACACAATGTGAACTTTTAGTGGGGGTTGATTTAAAGAAGTTCTGACTGAAAGCGATTATTAAGAAGCGATCTGAAAAGGTGTCGACAGTGGTTCTAATTATTCTCGATGTCCTTTCACGCAATCCACTTGCTAGTTAACAGGTTTTCCTCAGGAGCTAAAGAGTAACTTAAAACATCTATTGTATTCGAGTAATAGCTCCCTCGCCCTGGCTCTGCAATATATATTCGCGTTTTATATTGAGTACTTGAAGTTCCTTTGTGCGCGAATTTTTATACCCGAGCGCACCAGTGCACAAGGGTATTATAACTTTGTTCGCATAACCGTTGTTTGTAACAGCCGAAACGAATTGAGATAGATATATAGACAAATGTATAAATAAATGCTCAGAATGAAAAGAGAAATCGATTAAGCCATATCTGTCCGTTTACACGACAACTCTAAAAAAAATTGAGATATGTCCACGAAATTTGGTAAGTAAGTTTCCCTTTACCCAAGGTAGGTTGGGATTCAAAACCATATAACGGTATTTTCGAAAAATTCAAAATCTACGATATTTCCGTAAATACTGTTGAAAGTTGGTACGCGAAGTAGAATTTTGGCATAAAATGATATATGTAGTTATGAAATTTTTTGAAAATTGGAGTAGCACTGCCCACTTACGGTGAAATACTGTACCTCGGTAGAGCCTCACTAAGAAACCCTTTACAATTTTTTAAATCAGACAAGAACCTCGCCCACCACCCATATAACGGTAGTTTACAGAAATACGAAAACTGCGATATATTAGTAACTATTTAAGTTAATTTACTCAAAATCGATATATACAATGCCCTCTCAGCAGAAAATGCTACTTAAAGAAATTTTTGGTAAAATGGGTGTGGCACCCTCCACTTACGCCTACATCTCGGTAACCGGTTTATCAATTTCTACCAACCTCGGTACATTTATCAACCTTGGCTCAAAAAATCTATATGTTGAAAATTTTTGAAATCGGACTAAAATTAGCGTGCCCACCATATAACGGTCAATTTCAGAAATACGAAAACTCCGATTTTTCAATAACTAAACACGCCAACTTACAACAATCTCTTAACAAGAAACAATATTATTGATTTTCGAAAAATGGGCATGGCACCACACACTTATCACTACATACATACGTAAGTGTATATTGATAGCCCCCTTATCGATTTCCACCAAACTTGCTCCAATTAATTCAATATCTCATAGCATATTATCGAAACTGTTTGACATCGGCTAAAATACTCTTGCTTATGATTCAGTTTAATATTTAATACGTGTGCCGGGTATATAAAGTTCGGTTACGTCCGAACTTATACATCTTTCCTTCTTTACTTGGTTTCTTTATATTTTTAGAGCAGGAAGCATCGAAAGCTTAACCCCGTCAGCTGCTTTTATAGATCTCTCCGCGATGGCTACGATTTTGACAAGCGTCTTAGCTGTAACGCCGATCCACATGTAGGAACTGCAAGCTGTAGGATGCCATCATACATGGTTTTTTGCAAAAAAGGGCCTAATACTGCTCCCTGGGGTAGACCCGCCGTTACTTCATACTCCATGAATACATTGTCGTTGCGGTAGCGCAACACTTTCGCTGAGTGCATTCTTAACATCTATGGTTGCCATTAAACCGTATTGTTTGGCTCACAACTAGCCCGAACTGGCCCAGAAATAGTCCCGAACCAATTCCGAAATGGTCCTGAACAAGCCCCTTCTTTTAAGACTTAAACATTTTTTCGCACTCATAATTATTGTGAAAAGACTTTTATAATAGAAATCTTAAAATAAAAGTCTTTCAAGACTAAAAAATAATTATCTCAATGATTATTATTATGAAAAAACTTTTATAATATAAGTCTTAAAATAAAAGTCTTTGAAGACTTACGATTATTTATCTCTCTTATAATTATTATGAAAGGAGTTTTACAATACAAGTCCTTGAATAATGATAATAGCTGACCGAAAAATCTGTTATCTTAATATATATTGGTTTTTTGTTTATTCAAACCGATTTTTGATGGTATGCTCGAAAACCTGCCAGTAGAATCTAGCATGCACAAGGGGCGAGAACTAAAAATAATTGTGATAATACTTCAAAATCTGGCAAACCCCTGCACGGTGTACGGGTTGCATGGTTCTACGATGCATTCCATTTGCACCGTGCAGGGTTTTGCAAGACTTAGAGAATACCCCGAGTGTTTATACATTTGCTATACATTACTCAAGTTTTTCTTTCATAAATATTTTCACATTCCCAATTGGGGTAATTTTTTTTACTTTTTAAAATCACCAAAAATTTAGCTGTATATTAGGACTTCCAATATACATATAAGTATTTTTTATTCAAAAAAGGAATATCGTTTATTTATTTGAGTAACATTTTAACAATAATTTTTTTAAGTAATCTCAGTTGTTTACATTTTTTTTTCTACAATCCACTTGTCATAACAAAATAATCTGAAAAAACGCTAAATTTTTGGCCTTTTACACTACTTTGGATGGTGGCAAGTAGGTGGATGATTTAGCGCCACTTGAACCGGAACCGTTTTGGCTAACACCAATGCTTGTACTGGAAGCACCAACGAAGCCACTACCACTAATGTCACCAATGCCAGCACCACTTCCAGAGCCATAACTGCTACCAGCAATACCACCGCCAACGCCATGGCTGCCACTGGCTGAACCAACGCCACCAACGCCACCATCCAGTATACCAACAACCGATTGTTGTTGGCCAATGCCGCCATTGGTGTGCTCGGATGTGCCTTCGATTTTGTCATACTCGGCTGTAAGCAGAAAAATATTCGCAATTAATACATGGTAGCTAGTTAGTGTAGTACTTATTACACCTTGCTGCTTTTATTTACCTTGAATTTGTTGTTGTGCATGATGCGCCTCTTCTTCGGTCTTGTATTTGATAAAGAATACCTCTGGTTTGGC